GGGGGGAGGGGGTATTTTAATTTTTCTCTAAAGAACGGAGGATCTTTATCATCAACCAGATCATCCTTGAATCCGATCATGTATTGAGCAGTGAAACTGCTTTGTGAATTTGGTTTGTGCCTTAATTGAGTTAGTCATTGAACTCCAAAAATGTTGCTGCCTGAAGAGGAGTTTTAATAACGTTTTTTATGCTTACAATAATTTTCTCAGCTTTTTTTTTAAAAAAAATACTATTTTATAAAAACTGAAGTTATATTTCTCTAAACTCTGTGGGCAGTTTCAAAAGTTTAATTGTGGAAAAAATACATTATTTTTTTTTTATCCGAAAGAGAAGACAGCCTGGACTTCAAAACCAAATAGGTGAAGTGGTTTGCAACAGTTACCTGACTCTTGGCCTCAATCCAGTTGGATAAAGTTGAGACCTGAAAAGAGAGCTTGAATCCTGTGGCAGTGGAAAGACCAAGAATGCCAGTCAAGAAGAAAGGTGGGCATTGAAGCTTCCTATGCAATATATATTTCTTGGTTCTGGTAGTTGTAATTTAAATTGTATTCCATTTGAAAGTAAGATTTGGCTTGGGCAAATATTGATTACAATAACATCTTTTCTGTGGCACATCATTCAGTAATCTTATTTTGCTAAAGTGAAATGAAGTAGGACTGTAGTATTTAATTGCAGACATCGACGATTTCATAAATCAGGTGGTCTAAATCACCATAATCAGCATAGATTTGGGATCTACTTTAGTATTTTAAAGGTTAGTTTTAAACAATCTTTAAAAAAGAAATGTGTACAGTCGAGTTCTTTCTCATAGATTTAATATTTATCAAGTGAATTACATAGTGTAAAAAATAGCAAAGTTGTTTGCACTGAACAAAATTATGGATTTATTATTCATCTTTGGTTTAAAAATATATTTCATATTTGGGTTTACTTTAGTGTGAATCTTCACTTTTGTGCTAAAGTACAAGTTTGGTAACTTGTGCTTTTTGAGATGTCTGCCTTATCCAATAGCATGATTGACAAGTTCCCCAAATGAAGCAAACACCTGAATCCCCACCTCTTATCCCTCCCTTAAATTGATCAAGGTCAATGGGTCCCTAAAGTCTAGTTTATTATAGCTCAGTCCTTGAGAGATTCATTTCAGCATAGCTTTGCTGCACGTTATCTTTCTTGCTAAGGGTCGTAGTGAAACCAGATATTTTTTTGACATGGTATGGAAGATCAGATCAACTACAAAGTTTTCTCAAGGGTTTTGAACCAAAATTGATGTGAACACCCTTGAACTCTATTATACTGGGCTAGCATAGATCTAAATGCTGACCAGTTGTGTGAGTTGCTACGATCGGGAACTAAAGTTTGGGGGTGAAGGTTAAAGTGAACCTGCCTGTGCACGGTGATTAATCCTCCTACCTGTCGAGTTGGAAGGTGCACTGAGGAAACAGTGTGATGCTTTACCCAACCAGTATCTGTGGAGATGGACAATGATGTATAAAACCTTTGAAACACCTAGAAACATCCCTTTGTACGCTAGGATTTAAGAGTGGCATTGTTTCCTTCTCCCTCTCTTCCCCATAATATCACTGAGAGAAGTAAACTGTGTCTGAGATTTTGGAGCCACACCTGTCCGTACCTGACACAATTGGCTTATCTGGAACCAAAATGGGTTCAGTAATGTAGCCAATAAAGGATATAGGTGCTTGACTTATTTAACTTGTAGTGTGTTTTTATTCTTTCTACCACTTACTGTTCTCCAGAGAGAAAAGATAACTGGGAAGGAGGAAAGGTAACTGATGTTCTAGCAGGGCAAATTTCAGGTTTCTAAACCCAGTGGGCTGAGCCTTTTAAGAGTTCTGAACTTTAAAGGAAGTTACAAGAATTGCTTGTACATGATTGAAAGTCATACTTAATGAGAAATAATTTACATTTTATTTCCTTTTTTCCACCTTTCTTCCTTTTTCCCTCTTTCCTTCTTCTCTCCTTCCTTCACCGCCCCCCCCCCTTCCTTCATTAACAATGGATTGATTGTAATGGATCAGATTTTAAGGAATCAAGTTCTAGTTAGCAAAAACTGTATATATTTGGGTTATACTAAAGTATATGCATTATTTAATTTACTTTGTGAACTGATCTAGTTAGAAAAATTTATCTTATTTTTAATCTCTTAAAACTATTAGTATTAAGTTATATTTTTTAATCTTATAAACAACTAGCCAACAAATTATGACATGTGCATTATATTTTTTTAATTGGCTAACCTTACTTTTGTACAATTTCTAAAATATGAGTAAAACAAATATTTTTAAAGTATAACCTGAATTTTTATTCTGTGGGGAGTACTGTCCTCTGTCATCTTGAATCATTTCTTTTCATTGTTACATCTGATGGATATGACAGGGGAGCTAGATTAATGTAATTTTAGCAATAACTATCTTCATTGAGCCAAGTGTTTACTCATTATTTAATATATTCTTATTAAAATAAGAAACTCTCATTTGGTGTCTATTTTATGTTATTGTAAAAGTAGAGAGGAGATTCTATGATTGGGAAGTGGGAATGGGTGTGTGACATCTGAGTCCATTTTTAGGCACCATTCTTGACTGTTCTTAGATAAGCTAAAATTGGTGTACCTCTAATCCCTGTATTCACTGCTTTTTTTTGCTTTATGACATTACTTCCTACCTCTACCACCCCACTCTCTTCATATTTTTATAGATCTAAGTTTTATCAACCTTTCATTTCTTTATTAAAGATTTTTTTCTCTGAGAGTTGCTTTTCATTCAGGATTCTCTTTTCTACAGTAATAACTTGATTTGTTCCCAACTGAACCTGTAGCACACTTTGACCTATTTTAATTTGTGAAAATTCAGGGCTAATCCAAGATCAGTTATATTAGCATTATCTGATATGATCATGGCAAAGTGCTATTTCAATGAAACTTCAATCTATTTTCAAGATGGATTAATATAAGAAATAAAAGTTAATGATAATTGTGTCCTTACCAGTGTTTTCAGTGGAAAGTTGCTATTTTAATGATAAAATATGCTTCACCAGAATTTTTTTAGTACATTGCAGTTTCTTTTTTGAACAATTTTTAGTCTCTTTTTATTTAACTATGTGAGAGAAAACTATGCTTTTAATATCTGGAGGTTGATGCTCATTTCCTTTCTGTGTTTTAAAAATATTGTCCTATTATCTTCTGAACTTCTTTTTAATTGGTAAAGAAGTTACCTAACATTTTTCATTTTTCTGACACTTTATTTCCTTTGAACTATTTTTTTGCAACTGTTCTCGGTTATATAATGGAGTACGTATAAATTTATTTTCACCAAGTACTGAAAGTTAAATACTATAATTTTCACAATTCATTGACATTGTTCTTTTTAAAGAAAGCTGAAATGTGAGTAAAACAAATATTTAACA